GCCACCAGTACAAAGGCTCAATGCCAGGTCATTTTTTCTACAGATGGTCAAGACAGCTGGGACAATTTAGTGATGTGTATGGGCCTTTAAACTGCCTCCGAGGCATGATAAAAACAGCTTGACTTGAGCTTCTGCATATGCTGCGATGAGAGCGCTCAGGTTTGGAGATTCACATAATGACGGCACTAATACCAGCAGTTGGTGTGGACAAAGGACAAATAGTTCAGGCTTGTATGGACTTAGGACAATGATCCTTCAAATTCACAGCTCACAAAAATGTCTGATGAAGTGTGATATTACTGTTAACCTGCATACAAAAAATAATGCAATATTTCTATTATTATATTAGCAGGGCAGGGACAGAGCATAGTGCATTTTGAAAGTACAAATAATAACAATAATAGATAGTATTTAGTAAGCACTGTGGTTTTTCCTCACTTTAATACAATACTGTTAAAAGTGTCAATACTCAGATATTAAGTATCAATACTCAGTATCTCAATACTAATTTTCTAATATATCTGAAGAACTAGTAAAAACCTAAAATGTCACTATTATTTTGTGTTCAAAAATAATGTGTTTATTCATAAATATAAATATCTTTGTATCAAAACAAGTATTGGGTCTATTCATTAGTATGGAATTGGAGAAGATTCCAAATGTCATGCCAAAATGTAACACATATATACTTTTACTGTTTATATGCCTGTATACTACTGAACATGTATACAGGTGTTATGGATCTACACTGCCAATTCTCTGATATTTATTTTTCAAAGCTTAATTTGATAAAAATGTAAAACTAACTTTGAATATGTGCCTCAAGCTCCATATGGAAAAGCTATTAAACAATTAAATCCTGTACAGCATTCAGTCATCATTAAATCTGGGGTACTTAACTTTAAAACAAATAATTAAGAATTACTTTTGTTTGTCTGTTGAAAAATGACAGACTGAGGCGGGATCAGAAGCACAAATTGTTTAGAGTCTTTCAAAGCAGAATGAAAACTGGGAAAACATGATATACGACAATTTATGTCACATGTTTGTGAGTCCAAACAACAGACAGGTTGCTGTGACCTGATCACTTGAATGTTATGTCTGCGTTTGTCCGTTTGTCTTAATAGAAACAGTCTTAGTAAAAGTAAAAATGTTCTGAACAAATCAGACCACAACATATTACCTACATCACAGGGTTCTTTCTTATGAGTACAGGATCTTTTGCATAATGCAAGAAAGAGTCCTGTGAATCACAATTTGACGCTTTTTGGAATGATTGTCAATACATTGAATCTTGAAATCTTTGTTGCTATCAACTAAAGTCTAAAGAACGATGCAAACGTATTTACTGACACTGTGGCAGATGTCGAGGGAACTGCTTCCCTTGAGTATAAAACTCATGTTGTGTCGTTTATGCTTCCAAAAATTAAACATGTGTTCTGCTGAGACACAATTCCAGACCTCCGCAAATGTTGTCATTTTCTTCAACTCTTTAGGCTAAGAGCTGATTGTCTGAGTGAATGTGATCCTCTCTTTTTAACTTTTTTGTCTGAAAAAGCTGATCTAAAGATGTGACAGAGACAAAAATACATGTGTGAGATTTCATAACACTTTGAAGCAACTTTTGTTAAAGTTAAACTCATCATTCTATCAATGTGCAGAAGCCAGTACTTTTCCCTTGTTTTGTCTATCTGAAGGCCAAGCTACAAGCACACCGTGGAAGCTGCTGATTGGAGGTCTCCATGCCTCCGCTCTGTATAATACACTTGCATTCTATTGTTTCTGTGATCGTGTGTTTTGTTCGTGCTGTCTCTACCATCGACAATAAAACATGTCTTCTGTCTGAATTTAAGACGCGATCCTAGACTATGTCATCTTCTTCACATGCATGTGAAAACTAACTGGATTTTATTACACAGTTCAAATGTTTTTTTTGGTTGAAAACATAGGCAACAATATAGAACAGTGTGCACCAATGTGACCTATACAGCATAAAACATATTAAACTAAATGATACTCTTCTACTCTGCCTGTCAGATCTCTCCACATTGGATTATGTGTGTGTGTGTGTGTGTGTGTGTGTGTGTGTATGTGTGTGTGTGTGCGTGTGTGCGTGCGTGTGTATGTGTATGAATATGCAAGTGTGACGGTGAGAGGGTGATTAGCTGCCATCTCAACAGCTGTTTAATGAACAGAGGGACCTCTTTCTCTGGAAATGAGTTTTCCCTTGAAAACTGGAGAAGCCGTATCCAGGTCTATTTAAATGAGCTAACATGGGGAAGGTAAGCAGCACCACATGAGCATTGTTTTCACAGTTCAAAGTGAGGAGAGAGTACTTTGCACTTCAAAGCCACTCATCTGGGAGGCAGTGAGGGGGAGGGGCGGGGGAGAGAGGGGACAGGAAATAAGAATCAGGGTAATTAACAACTTCTGCTCCATAATAAACCAAAGGCACGCTGCACCTCTATCACAGGATGGTCCGTGCCTCTGCCTGCATCCTGCATCCTTCATCCCGTCTCTACGTGGGTTACATCATATTTACTCACATTTGCATGAGGCCTTGATTCATTTATAAATCAATGCACTTTTCTTTACAGCTCATTTGGCTGCCAGGCTTTGCTCACATAAATTGTTTGTATTTGCACCAAAAGCCAGAGGCGTTACAAAGTATTTACACCGCACTGATTATTACAACAACTGAAGATCACATCCCCAGAATAGAAGGCATGTTCCGTTTATCCACAAACTGAAGAGGCGCGGTTAACAGGGCAATGTTGCATGAAGAGAATGTAATTGTGTTTACCGATCCCTCATGAAGATAAGATAAACTTTAATCGTCCCACAGTGGGGGAACTGTGGGGAAAAGAATGGTTTTTCTTTGATATAAGACTTCACACTTCAGCAACTGTCACAATAACGCAATTTGAGGAATGATAAAGTATTGCTAGAGAGTAATAATGTAATTATTTTTAAACTACAGGACAATATCTCTCAAGCTAGAAATACTCAGGCGTTTCTTTTTTTTTTAAAGGACAGAATAATTAAAGATACACTGATATAACTTTTGGAGCTACTAATATTATTGCTTTGGAATGTACTGGAACCTCATGTTAAAACACAAAGCAATATTCAATTATTGAGGTATTTACAAAAACAAAAATCTAAAATTCTCAGCATATATTAGCTGTAAATTAGTGACACATACTTTATCACTGAACAGTTGATAATTTCATGAAAAACAATGTTTAGATGGGCGCAACCAAGTGGTAAATACTGCAGAGCAGCTTTAATTATTTTTGTAATTAATTAATTATCAATATATAATGATAAATTCTGAGCCCTAAAATTGGTTATACCATCCATTATTTATTTTTATTTATCGAACAATATGTCAATATATACTGTGACAGGCTTCGATCAAAGTGAAAATCTTAAAACTCTGAAAATGCTTTGATGATATGGTGCCAATGTTGAATAACAGTAAATACAATCAAACTTTTGAAAATCAATTATTTGCAGGAGGAGACAAGCGAAGCATTTAATTGGACAGCAATGTGCTAAGAAGAAGTTAACCCTTCTATATGAAGGCCTCGTTGAAGTTGTCTCCTGTTTGACCCCTGTTTATTTAAGGATCACAGTCTGAGAAACAGTGCTTTTAAAGGCAGGAACTCAGCATTACCATGAGAAACCCACATTTAAGACTTTACCATTGTAATGGTGAGCAGACTTACAGAATGAGATTAAGCCCCTATCTGCATTAAACGGACACATCTGAAGTGGCCTCGACTTGAACCCTGACATGTGATAGTGTCGCACAGTGTGGCCTCTGTGACATGTTGCCTACTGCTGAGAGGGCCTGCTTTGATTGAGTTTTATCAATTAGCTTTGTGTGGGAGAGATGTGGGGGGCAGTTGCCAGAGAGATGAGAGAAGAAAGTACATTAAAAGCTCTTTAGTTGCCTACTCCGCTGATGTTTTAAGTGCAAATGGCTTGATTGATAAGAAAAAACATCTTTCAGAAAGTAGAATCTATTGTCATGCAGCAGTAAAAGAAACATTAAAGGATGGGCAGTGGGAACTTCAACTATATAGCATTGAACTGTGCTTTTCGTAGATTTTCTTGTATTAATCATAAGCCAGACACTAAACACTAATGATGTGTTGGTATGAATGTCCATACATTTGATCAGACAGTTTGTGATTCCTTTTATTGTGCTGATAATGTATTTAGAAGAGTTGGTAATATGAAGGGCTAATGTTATACTGAAATAATATCGTTATAGTGCAAATACGAATTTATTCATGACAATAAACCCACACAGGAACTGGCAAGTTAGAATACAATCCCTGTGTGTAACTAATGCCACTGAGTTGGCTAAAATATCACAGATATATCCAAACTAAGCATTTTGTTTTCTGAGAAACACCCAAAGCTGCTGAGACAAATGGGCTAATATAAAAACCGTTTGAATGATCTTTTCTCCAGTGCAGTCATGTTACTGATGAGACACCAGCAGCCTCTTAAAACACTTACATTCAGAGCTGAACAATCGGAGGCGGGGCCACTGGTGGAGGTCCGCATTTGGTGGAAATTGAGTGAAATGATGAGCACCCTCCCCTCACCTCCGCCCCCTCCCAGTGTCCTCACATGTATCTGTGCGGGACCCTCAGCGCTGTTCTGCTATAAAGAGATGCACACGTTGCCCGCACCAGCCACAACACTCTACTACACAACACTCTACTACACTACACTCTACTACACTACACTCTACTTCACTTCACTTCCACAGGACGCGCTGGACTCATACCTCTGCAGCGGACTACCGTGTCGCTTCTGCCGCTGTCTGCACTGCTTCAGCCCGGGGAGACACTCCTATACCCGGGGAGACGCTGCACAGCCCGGTGAAGACCCCGTGTGGACCCTTTGAGGAGCCCGTGTGGCCCCGGTTCTTTAGGCGCCGTAGTTCCGCGCTCTGAGTCGCAGGTGGAAGGCGCGCACACATGGCTGCGCTGACTATTCAAAGAACCGACAACTTTTTGCACACATTTTTACAGGTTTGTAAACTTTTACTTTCTTTGAACCGATGCTTAATATTTTCAATCTTAATATTAATACTATAACAATATAATTTAAACTCCGTTACTCAAATTAGCCTTAGCCTCACATTAGTGAGAATTATTCCAAAGAATTTATGAAAAAATGTTAAAATTAGTAAACGGTAATGGTAAGTACATTCTTGTAAATAAATAAAACAACTAACTAAGAGATAAAAAAGTAAATGTTATTTTGTAATTACGGTTTAATTATTTTTAATACGGACAGTGCATTCCCAAGATATACAAAGTTATATAAACAATCAAATGTGTAAATAGTTTTGTTGTTACATTACTATTATTATTGTTATAATTATTATTACAATCATGTAATCGTGTTGGTCATTATTGTCATCTCATTATGTATATTTGCTTATGATTTTCAAAATGTATACTATTACCGTGTAAATCACATGAATATTGTTCATTCTTAAGCAACACCTCTGCATGTGACATGGACTTTTTGCCATTGTGAGATCAATAAAGTTTATCTTATTTTATCTTATCTTATCTTTGCAGGACAGGACGCCCAGCTCCTCTCCTGAAGGAGCACCCAACGCCTTGTCGTTCCTGGCCACCACGTGCAGCCAGGCCTGGCAGGTCGGAGGCACCATGGGCTCAGAGGGGTCTCAGTTCCCCTACGATGGAGCAGTCAGTTCCACCTCAGGGATGTTCCAGCTGTGGAGCAACGACATGACGCCCGCCTCAGCCCTCGGGACACACTTCACTGTTCCCAAAGTTCAGTTTCCTGGGCACATGCAGAGCAGCCTCCATCACCACCACCCACACCACCACCATCACCACGAACTGCCCCTCACCCCTCCAGCAGAGCCCTCGTCCTATTCCTTTGAGCTGTCCCCAGTAAAGAGTAACGCTTCTTACTATTCTCAACACAACACTGTGTCCCAGAACTTTCCCAGCTTCCTGCAGAACCCCTCGGGACGCCACCATCTCCCGGGGGGACATGTAGAGGAGGCTCAGCAGTGGTGGAGCCTGCCTCAAAGCAACACCTCTGCCTCCAATCACCCCTTCACCCTGAGTAGGCAGCTTGTCCTGGGACACCAGCCTCAGATTGCAGCTTTACTACAGGGAACTTCCAAAGGGTTACTGAGCTCCACTCGCCGCTGCCGGAGATGCAAGTGTCCCAACTGTCAGACTAACGGTGGGGGGTTGGAGTTTGGGAAGAAGAGACTGCACATCTGTCACATCCCTGAGTGTGGAAAAGTGTACAAGAAGACTTCCCACCTAAAGGCACACCTGCGCTGGCATGCCGGGGAGCGACCTTTCATCTGTAACTGGCTTTTCTGCGGAAAGAGCTTCACGCGCTCAGACGAACTGCAGCGGCACCTGCGGACACACACCGGGGAGAAGCGCTTTGGCTGCCAGCAGTGTGGGAAGAGGTTCATGAGGAGTGACCATCTCTCCAAACACGTCAAGACCCACCAGAGCAGAAAGAGCCGCTCCGGACCCCCGTCACAGAGCACAGACTCTCTGATAAGCAACATCAAGAGAGAGTGAACATATTATACGAGACACTTTGACCCACTGCCATCTGTTTGCACTAAGCTTTAAACACATCACTTTGACGGCACAGACTGGTCATCAAGCGTGTGTTGGACATCGCTGGAAAATTCTATATTGCGAGAAAATTCTTGATTTATGCCTCTTGGATAAATGTCTTTCAAATACACTGTAAATAGGATCTCTGTGAAGAACATGGCAGCTGTGTATATTGTTTATATTTAAAGTTGAGAATAAATATATGCCTTTTTGGCCACGCTGCAGTAGAATGTTTTCTTCAATGGCTTAAGACATGGAGGCTGCGCGTTCAGAATTTCTTTTGCCTAAACCGACCCGGACTGTCTTTGATGATAGAAATCTATTTGAGATGTAAGTCTTTGATGTGCAGATGTCTGAGCAGTTAAGGAGCAATATGAAGCACGATTTGCCCAACAGGATTCTCAGTGTAAATGATGTACACATGTCTTTAACATTTGAAATGGCCAGCATGTACATTTGAATAAAGATTATACATGTTGAAGCACTGTCTTTATTTTGTTCAGTTCCTCGGGGGATGACAGTTGAATAGGGAGCACACAGACTCACTCAATGGTTTTAACTATTTACAACTCTTTTACTTATGTGTGAAGACCTCCTGCCGCCGCGAAAGATCTAACATTTTATTTAAATGATAATATGAGTGCATTTAGAGGTGTGGAGGAAGCCCCAACACAGTGGGCTTTTCAAAGATGTTCACACCTCTGTCAGGTTTGAAGCCATTGACTAAAGCTTCTGCAATCAAGTTCACAGTTATGTGGCTTTAATGACTGTTTTCTTTCCCCCAATAGAGAGGATTGAGTCAACAGATGTAACAGAGGCCTCAGTGGAGCGCTCCTCTGTGAATGGGACCCCTGTTGTTGGGACCCCCTCAGTGGTGACAGGAACTCCCTTTGATTTTGCACCCTTGTGAAAGTTAATACCAGCTGCCCTGCACCCCTCCATATTTCACAGGCACGTTACGATTGGCTTTACTGCCCAGAAAGAGCCTTTATTCAGGGGCCAGCCAACCAGATGTCTGCTCATCCTCCTATCTCCTTTGAAGCTTCTCCAAAGGTTGTTCAAGCAAGTTGAATGTCTTTGTTGAACTTAAAGTTGGATTGTTCAAAAGTAAAATATAAGAATCATACAAATATTCATTAAACCAACTTTCTGATATCCAAAAAAGACACTTTATTTCATATGATACAACTGTTTTAGTCAATCAAAAATGGCAACAACTAAAACTCTTTGCACTGACAGTTTCATTACTGATTTTCTATTGTGTTACATGCAAAACTGTCTAATTAAATAGTGATGCATAAAGAACAAATTGATTTTAATCAAACATATTTTTCGATAAAATATTCTTTGGAGGTTTGTTATGAGGGAGTTGTAGGAACCCTCACTAACCTAATGTTCTTACAGTTTATGTTCTTATTCTTACCAGAATAGGAAACAATAAATTGCTAGAAACACAAACATGGCCTTGACATGACAGGACTTGCTTTGGCACAGCTGATTGAAGAAGTAATGCAATTAAAATGTTGCACATTGTTGGATATCAAAGAATACCGTACAATTGCATTGCAACAGCTTTCTTATCAATATCAACTCTGTTGGGCTTTGTGCACTCACAAGTAGTATGAGTTCTGAAGAAACAGTCCCTTTGATTGCACCTGTAATTTCTTGGGAATTACAAAAGGAGAAAAGTATTTTTCAAAGTGACGTCATATCCAGAAGAAACCTCCAGGGGGCTCCCTTGCTCCTTTTTTGTCCAGATCAGAAGGAGGAAAGTCAAACAGAATGGTTGAGTGCTGAACTCCACCGAAGCGGAGAAAGTTCTCTGGACTCAACACTATGTGCATGAATCACTTTGGCAGGTTTGTATGAAGTTTGCTTTGCCTATTTTGTTAAACATGTAAGTTAAACAGAAATCTCAACAGTCAATGAAATAATGAGAGTTAGTTTATGCATGTACTGTGTTTGGAGCTTTGGAAAAAAAATACTTCAAAAATATTACAAAAACAGCAAACATTCACACATTCATCTCAAAATCATATTCACATACACATACAACTCCAGTGACCGTCCCAATTAGGAATGGATTTTCTTCATTAATAAATTCCCCTTGACCTTAAAAAAAGATAAAAAGCAAAGAATATTTGTAACACTGAGTGATTGGGCCTCTTTGAGAGTGGGCCGCAGTCACTTTACTTCTGCGTTTGTCCCGTCGTTTGCTAAGCCTGGTACAGGTCCAGCCCGGCAGTAGCAACATAAATACAGTACAAAAGTCTTGCATGTGCAGCAGCTGATCACACGCTGCTTACTTCTTCCAGGAGACGCCTAAAGTTAGTCTTCGGTCAATTGGGCCAAGTTACTGGGTCTCCGTCCTGCTGAAGGTCCTGACACATTAGAACCAGCATCACAGAGCGGCCCCCTCCGACAACTCTCTGCTGCCCTCTGCTGAAAACAGAAGGAACAACAAGGACATTACATTTACATAAAAGTCAGAAATTTGTAGGGAACAATTAGGACCATCGCTATGGGATTTATTTTGGCATACACTTTTTCAAAAAAGTTATAGGCTATTTACTCTAAGTACAGGAAGCCATTATCTGGTTTTGATAGGCATCATTTTTCCCTGTCTGGCCCAGTGGACTTCCTGTTAGCTAAGTGCCAAGTCTTAAGCGCCTGAGTAAATAGTAAAGAGAAAAGCAGCCAGCTTTCAGCACAGTTGATATGTTTGTGGCAAAGCACATCAAAAACAGGAAGTGAAAAATTAAATAGCGCAATTTTCTTTTTTTTTTATAATACAATGTTACTTACTATTTACATAAAATATGCAAAATTACACATGAGATCAATTTTGTTCTGTGGGCCTATGCATTTTTAAGTTTATATTCTTCCTATCTTAACCATTAGGGGGAGGAAAAGATCTTCATAAGAACTCACTTAGCACTAAATGTTCTGGATAAAGGTAACTTCAGGTTAAATCTTCAGGATGCCAATATAACATAAGCTCATTCTCTCATGAGACACAAACACACACACACACACGCACACACATACACACACACACACACACACACACACTCACATACATGAAGTCTGTACTTTAACGTTCTGACTGGCATCTGTACCTGTGCACATTGTGAGCTGGAGGAGTAGAGACCGTTTGATACAGCTTGAACACTGGACTGGTCATTGAAGCCCAGCTGGACATGTGACAGAGAAACAGTGTGGGAGTCTGCAGAGCACGGCTGGACTAAAGTGGGCTGCAAAGCAAACAACAGATCATAAATATCACTAAGCTTTAACAATATAAGCAGGCTGAGCAGCATTTTGTGAGCAGAAAGTGTATGTGCTGTAGCTCTGTGGTCTGTGTAAATGAGATCAACAAAGAGCACTGAAGATATATTCTACAGTTAATGTGAAATCCATACCTCACGCAGGGCAAACGTCTCAGTGTTTGCTGAGCCCTGGGTCTGGCTGGGCAGATAGAGCGCAGGCAATGACGTGTTGTGTGAATGCAGAGAGGGGAACTTGTGGCGGTCAATGGAGGCCGAGGAGTGTGGCCTCAGGGAGGAGGTGGCAGACAGAGGTGGCCTCATGCTGCGGCCCAGGCTGTTAGACTTGCTCTCCCTGCGCTGGTACTCGATCGGGGACTGTAAGGCTGAACACAAAGAGACTTGATTGATTCGTTTTGGTAACTGATGTGTTTAGCAATAGTAGTTGAGAGAGAAGTTTTCCAGTCATAAAGACAGAGAGAAATTTTTTTTTAATTTGAAATCTTTGATAATGGAAAATCTGTGTTTTAAAATAGACAAGACACAATGTGTGTGTGTGTGTGTGTGTGTGTGACATTTCTGCATCGCTATTGTGAAGTATGTGATATCAAAGATGTCCAAAGCCTATACAAATCATTCAAGAGAATAATTCCCACCATTGAGGAAATTGCGCTGTGACTCTAAGATCTGCATCACGTCGCTGACCCAGGCCCTGCAGGTGTCAGGGGAGGCGGCTTGGAGCTGGAAGCGCACCACACTTCCATCTGGGTTCCGTGATGTCAGGACGAAGCGTGCATCCTCTCCGTCCACAAGGGGCTCCACCCCCAGGCAGCTCACCTGCAACAACACATCTGACTCACATCTGCGCACAGCCTCCTTAAGCTTCTCGTTAAAAGCAACATATGCAGCCCACTGCAGAGGCCTCAAACTTGTTTACAACTACCTTTATGCTATTTTTGAAGATGTATCCAGGAATGGAGAAGCCTTTCTTCTTATCAATAGGTTCACTGAAGATGACCAGCTGCTCAAAGAGGAAAACCCGTCTCTCTTTGATTCTGGAGAGGATGCTACTGTCCTGCTCCGTAACAATGAACGTGTCCTGTAGTAGCAGTTTGCCCAGTGCTGTGATCTTCCCCTGACACCACAGAAAGACATCGATAAACAGAGGATACAATAACCACTGTGGAGGAACTCTCTGCACATTTGGTTGAATAAATGTTTTGGATCGCTTCAGAAGAAGTCCAAATAATACCTCAAAGCCTTGCAGACGACCCACATTCATCATGTCGTTGCACCGTTTTGGCACAAAGCACATCACTTCGACTGCTTTCTGTTTTAAAAAAGAAACCCACACACATTTAATGTGGAATTATTTTACAATCCATACTTACGACTATAAATGATATATTCAGGTGGTTATTGGGGGCACCCACCTCCAAATCCTCGATGTCCACTCCAGCTTTGGTGTAATACTTAAGGAAGTCCTGTGGAAATAAATGCAGCATAGTCACCACAGCACCGCGGGTAAAGACATCTGGAGAACAATTTACCGCCTAAACCATCCTTTATTGGAGAGCCAAGGGGCAGCATGTTCGATCTGGATGAGGGCTTTGACTCAAGATCGTTGTTTATGACCAACTTCAAAGACATTGCCTGTTATCTCAAACGCTGCCAATTCTCACAGCTTTTGCAGATTTCTTTAGTATTGTTTCAGTTAAACCGTATTGAATATTTTCACATTACTATTATTACAGAAGTATTAAATGCAGTTGTTACTATATTATATGCAGTTACGTGCAGGAGCAGGAGGCCTCTGTACCTTGAGCAGCAGCTGGTACTTCATGATCCTCTGCACAGGTTTGATAAGCAGGTCGTTCAGCTGCAGCCTGTGTCCCAGCTGCAGCCGGAGCTCCTGTCAGGGACGCACACATCAACATGACAGCAACGCACTAAACACAGAGGCTAATGTGACACTGAGGGACAGAGCTGTTTGTTGTTGTGCTCCATTCCCAGAAGTGAGCCATGGATGAGAAAGTGATTATAATCGGAATTATACATGATCTGGAATACACCGCTAGACCATGTTGTGTAAAACGACAGAACTCATCAGCCGTTCACAATCAACCAATGATTAACGCTATGTCATCCGCACAATCTGTCAGTATGTATTCAGACTCATTAGGTCATATGAACACAGATGAGAGAGATGAGATGTACTTTATTATCTCACAATGGAGAAATTCAGTATGAGAAAATTCATACACAGGTGAAACTCCGAAAAATGTGAAAGCAATATATGATATATACTCATTACATACAAAGTGACATATACCAACTTCCAAACCTTTGTTAGCTATAACTTGATGATTATGGTTACCTGTTCATATTCAAATTTTGTGAACTGAGTTTTTATAAGTTGTGAGCCTAAATAATCGACATTAAACAAATAAGTCTATCATATCCTGACAGTGCCTGAGTTGCATTGCAGGATGGGTCAAATGCAGGACAATTCTCCCTACAAAGATTGAAAAAGGCATACAATAGGGTATTTATAACGCAGACCAGGGAGAACATGCAAACTCCACAGAGATGGAATCCAACCCAAGATCTTACTGTAAAGCACAAGCACTAACCAATGCCTCACCACGCCCCCTTAACCTGAATTTGTTTCAGTTTTAAATTCAATGTTTTCTGAGTTTCACCTGTAATGCGTTGTGTGTATTTGGATGGGAATTGTATTTTGGGTATAAGTGAGAAAAGATGAGAAAAAAAGTTTAACCTACCTCAAAATAAGTTTCTATGTACTCGGACACAATGTGCTCTGATTTGGGTTTGTTCTGACAGTACACCACGTACATGTGCAGACGTCTCTCCTGCAGAATGACAACAGCAAAAAAAGTTCAAATCAAAGTGCAGCGTTTGTGGCAGATGTGCTATAAGGATTAGTGAGAGAGCTGCGCCTCTGAAGCTAAATGTGTGCGATTAGCCTCCGGTAATACGTCTGTGTCACTGGAGTACAAATGTGGATCTGTGTGGGGTAAAGTGTAGCTTCAGGTATAATGTATAATTGACCTAGGTTTCCTGCTGTGTCTGTAACCAAAGACACTACGACCAGAGAGACTGTTCCTAGCAACACGCTGCACTGCTCTGTCACCTAGAGACCAGGCCTTTAAGTGGCCATAATGCGTGCATTCACTGGCCATATTTTGAAGGCGTTAGATCACAGCCAATACTACTATTTGGTGCTGAAACACACAGATGTTCACACCATTTCAGATCCAAACTCATTTTTGAAATTATTAGGGTCACACTGGTTACTTGTGAGATACTGACATGAAATAGTGATGGATTAAACTCTTATAATCGGAAAAATAAAACAATTTTTTGTCCCAAAGTGCACAAATAAACAAATCTTTTATCTCTTTTTTTATATACAAAACAACCAAAAATGTATAAATACCTAAAACATGCTTTCAGCTGTGGTGTGTGCCTGGCCCATATAATACTGTATATGTATCATTAGAATCACTGGAGCAGATCAAATGTAGCCATTAGTTGCAGTGCACACAGAAGAGCCATATCGAGGATGCAGAAATACAGCCAGGCTACATGCGTTAGCAGAGAGCTCATTTGTAAAGCAGCTCTAGTTAAAAGTGGCTGGTGCTTTCTGCTTTTCATTAGGCCAATGTTCCCCGTCTGCTTGTTTTCACAGTTTGACACCACACTTAGATTCAGTTACAGGTTGCTTTATTGCCTGCAGGCTTTTTAAGTTGATTATCCACTGGGCTGTGTCTTATTGGATTGTTGAAAGGCCTACTTCCAAGGAAAATGTGTGTGCGTAGCCAGATAGACACACAAAGACTCACAGGCACATATTTAACTGAATCATCTACAGACAAGAACTCTGGCAAGTTAGTCAGATTACCTTGTCTGTGTGTGCACGCGCCACCACTTAACTAATAGGCAGAAATCTAATTTATATCCTTTTATGAAGTCTAGCTCTCAAGCTCCCAGAACAATCTCCTTATTATTACATTGTGTCAGAAAAGGATACAAATAAAGAATGAGGAAGCTGCATTGTGTGGAGTGGGTCTAAAGAGTTTTATTCCTTGGCCTATTCCTGTTGTCCTCCTTGTTTTGTTCTCCAGTGTTTCCTGAGGGAAGTTTGAACTTTGCAAATGGGTCAATGATGAGTGTTATGTGTTGTAGTAAAAAGCTCCAAATGTATCAGTAACAGGCCATGAAAGGAAGAAAACTAATGACGTAATTTGGATTACGTCATTAGTTTATAGACTATAGACTATAGACTATATAATACATATATATATATATATATATACACATATATAACATTTTATGGAAATGTATCAACATGTATGGACATTAGTCATCCTGCTCCCTATGGACCAATGTGAGTGTGACTAAGTGTTTATTATTACTGTATTTCCTGTGTTCGAATTGAACAGTTGTGGCCAAATTGACATCTTTGTAAAGTCATCTGAGACGACTGCTGTTATGATTTAGGGCTATACACAAATACGTTGAATTTAATTGAAATGAAATAAAGTCTATGCCATCCAGACTGCCAATGTGCACATTTTGCCCTTCCAATTAACCCCCTAAAGCTGGGGTATCAGTTAAAAAAGAAGATTCTTGCTTTCATAACAGTTTGGTTCTTTCAAAAGTTTTCACGTATATGTACGTTTGGCCTCTCACATCTATAGCTTTTTCCAGACAGAAAGTGTCAAATAGGCTTAGGGGTTTGTATACAAAAGATAAGATAAATACAGCATTTTGTGATTTGTCCACATAATTTTACTTTTACAAGACTCTTTCTGCTGCAACAATATTATTTCAAGAACAAAAGTTAGGTAGCCCAGCTTTAATAACACATCACATTCAGACTAGACAATGTGAGATGAATGTCACTACATAATACAACATATACAACAACAGTTGAGGTTACACTAGACCGAGTATTTTAAATGGTCTGACATCCAAGACCAAGCAGGGGATTTTCACGGGGTATAACTGGTTGTTGTGCTGTACATTCTATAGTGAGGTAAAATGACCATCTTAAGTCAACATTTGGGCCTGATAAGATCTTAGTGTGGGCCAGGCTTGGGACTATTATCTTTCTAGGGTCACTATATCTAGTCCATCAAAGAGCTGCAGAAACAAATTGAAAGTGAAAAATAAAACAAACTAAAAATACGCTATCCAAAAGTCCTCCTTACATGTTTGATGAAAAGTTGGGCGAGTCTCTCCGGCTCTGCTACACACTTCTCCAGCTCACCCAGGAAGTAGCTATATGAGACACACATATTGACCTTGCTCTTTATCTGGTCCATTGTTCCTTTTTTTTTTCCATAAACACATCTCAGGAGTATTTGTTTTAAGCATTGAACACAATTGGAGCAGAAAGAGACAGTTATATCAAGGCTTACTCTTTATGCCAGTCAAATATTTGGTGAATGTTTCCAAAAACAATCTTGTCCTTTCCCTTCATGTCCTCCGGTACACCTTTGGTATTCATAGTGGCCATGTATCCCTGGAAAAGAATAAAAAACAACTTGCCAAGTTTTTTACAACAAGATTACGATTACACGTATTAACTTTTGGAGGGCAGGCAGGATTTACAGAATAAAATCTCTTATAATGAAAGAACATTGAGTGGATTAAGAAACATTTGCTGGATTTTCAATAAGCAGATATTTGAAAGTAAATTTATACAGAACTTACCTCAACTATGAAGCTCAGGTCTGCTACATAGTGCTTCTCTGTCTCAATGAGCTCTTTTAGCACATACCTAAGCAGACAAGAAAAGGAGAATTGTTCTAATTTACGAGGTGTTGTGGCCACGGGCAAATCCAACACTCATTATGTAAAGTTCATTTTTTACGTCTCAGTTTCCTATTGTTGTTGTGTTGTGTGTTTGTGAGTAATTCTAAAAAAGGGATTTTTTTTTTTTTTTTATCACATTACATTTGATGTGTCAGAATAATAATCAAAGCATTTCCAATAAACAGTATCTATGAGGTCATTGTTAGTCACATACGAACTGGTTACATTTGATTACTAGATTCAGATTACAGGTGAAGTATGTGTGAGCATTGATTTTTTGATCTTCCGTTGGTGAATTGAAAATTCTGTGGAGCAACTTCAGTTACGATTTTGGGCAACACAAAATAAATAGATTTTAGAAATAAATAAATCATTTTCCCCCAGTGATAGTAAGAAGCACAACCACACTATTCTTACTTTACTGCTCTTATTTTTATACTTTCCCGTTATTCTCTCACACTCACAGCTGCTGATCATGTTTATCCTACTGATCTGTTCTGTAAAGTGCACTGAGACACATTGTCATTTCATTATCTTAGTATCTTACATGCTCTTCTCTAAGGCACTTGTCCTTTCCTCCTCGGTCTCGGCCGGGGCAGAGGACTGGCTGGAGGTGTCGTCCATTATGACTGAGGCGCGGTCTTCTAGTCCGACCATGGTAGACTGAGTGTCCTGGATACAAAGTAAAGCAGCCTCCAGCATAAGTTTCATTTACATGACATAAAAACCGTCAAACCTTGAGCTGGATACTAAAATCAGAGTGCAACTGTTTTTAATAGCTGTTATTACAAGTCTCCATAAATTAACATAAAGTCAGAATTAAAAAACTACAGTGAAAGGTTGTTTTTGCGATAAAAAAAAAGTGGTGTAACCAACAATTCAACATTTGTGGCTCAGTTATTACATTCAATAGTGAATCTCCCCCAATCCTCTGCTTTCTATTTGTCAAAATAAAATAAAAATGAAAAAATACAAATCAAGCTAAAATTTTAACGCAACATCAAAATTAGTCAACAACCGAACAGTAGTGAACTAATCGGGTGAAATAAAATCATGAAAGGTCCTTAACACTAATATATACTATGCTATTTTAACATATAAACTATATAAACTACAAGTCTAATGTGTTCTCTTTATATTCAAATACTGAAGTCAATGATTGTGTGGTGATGTAGTCCCGGGTCATCATTTATCTGTATACAGTATTCTTATCCATGACCTTTTATTGTTTACATCTTCAGACTATAAAACGTGACGCACAAACGAGGAAAGTGATGGGAAAAACTGATAGAGGTTTTAATGATGCAGGTTACCAAGGTGACCAGAGGGAGCCGCGCGACACGGCGATAAGAAGATGGTGAGTGTCGGTAATGACGCGTGAGGCATCAGATGGACAGAGAAACAGGCTCCTGCCACACTCAGTCAACAAATACAAATCCAGCAAAAACACAAAAAAGCAACACTTTTCCCCCATGGATTTATGGGGGAAAAGTACCCCAGCTTTATGTTTGTGAATGGGTCCTTAATGTGTTTACCAAACTGGATTGTAAAAGTAAGAGTGAACGTAGATTTTCTTTTTTAGGTAATTTAGAGGTTGTGTCAGATGTGGGGCATTCTTTCACTGTAACTATTATCTACTCTTATCATACTCTTATATAAGCGGGGTCTATTGTTTAACAACATGCACACAGCGTCCTTCTTGTGTATAGCAGTAGTATGAGCATGAAGAGGCTCAGGCACTGATCGATTAAGGCCGTATTCTATATCCATGACCTCCTTCTCAAGCCTTTTTTCTAGGAATTGATATATTTCCTGTGGTGATCCTGGTTAAAATTTAGAGTTATTGTCGGCAAAAAGTCCTGGTCTGAAATCATTGCTAACTCAATGGACACAGTGCTCACAGCTGCGCACAACGCTTATGTTTGTGTAACCTATTTTACTATGACAATACGCACACTTATAGCCCCTCTGTTTCTCAGTCTTAGCTTGGCACTTTGTCCGAGTTGAGTCTATATATAGCCCTGTTGTTCGCCATTGCTATTTACTTTGTGTTTGCTTTGTTAACTTTTGAGAGCAGCCATCTGTCTTCTGCTAAATCTATGTCTCTTGTAATGTCCAAGTTAAGCAGAACCTCCCCGACTTAAATACATAGACAAAAGAGCACCAGAAATACTCCAAATCCCACTGGTCGACTGTTCTCATACAGAAATAAATAGACGAATGAATGGAAAGACGTGTCAGCTTGTGGAAAAATGTATAGGACGTTTTAACTTAACCTAGAGCACCTGCTGTTTGGTGGATCTATAATCTTTCACTTTGTATGGTTACAAGTTGGAAAGAAAAACAAAACAAGGTAAGACTGTGAGGAGGAAGACACAGAGGCTCCAGAAGACCTCCTCTCCCCCGGTGTGTTCTGCCCTGCTCAGAGTGCTCCGGTCTGGCTGACAGGTCTGGCTGGCTCTCTGATCGCTTCCAGATGTGCCATAGCAACCCCCTCCCGCACGCACACAAACACACAAACGCACACACACACACACTGCTTGGGGTTTTGTTTTCTTTCTGCAGAAGTCCATGCTAAATCAGACAACACTGTAACTAAAAACTAACATGCATACTTGTTGGGTTTTGATATTTTGAGATAAAAACCTAGTCATCTCTGAAGTTTAAGGCACTACTATGCCACCTCCTTGACTTCATAGCGATATTTGCTAAAATGTCTAACAATGAAGCAACTCCCCCCTTCGAATTCTAGTTCAAATCTGCGTTCTGGCTTGTTCCAAAATATTGAGGTTTAATGTTATGATAATTCATGAGGAACATGGGGGTTGAAATTAAATGGATTTGTACTCAAAACAATACAAAAAAACATTATTTTCAAGTATACAGGGGATGCCCTAAAATCTTAGTATTTCGTCTCTCGCCTTATCACAGAGCCTACCTTAACCAAATTAGCTTCTCCAAACCCTAACTTTAACCTTCGTCCAAACGTTACCCATATTGTGATTGTGAATTTTAATAAAAAAAATAGCAACAAAATAAATGTGAATATTCACCTGGGACGAAATACTTGGGTCCTAAGTATACAGAAAGTCTAAGAATACATGAAAAACTAAATTTAAATAAAAAAAAATGAATACAATTCCAAGGGGTTGGAATGTCCAAATAGCACCATAAGTTAAAAATTGAATCAGTGGAGAGGTGACCCCGCTTATAGTTGGAGTACATTTTCCCCAGGTATGTTTTATGCATTATAACATCCATTACGACAAATTCTATACAATAATTAAGAGTGAAAAGTGAAATGCTAAACTGTGGAACATTTGAAATAAAAGCATCAGATGTCAGAACCTCACTTAAGACAACATGTAGCACTAGACTTGATGACACAAAAAATTTATTCAATTTAAAAAATGAAAACGGCATCAAATGACAGTAAAATAGTAATATATACAAAACTGAAAATATGACATTTTTCTGGCAGCTATACAGTATTGTCTATTGTATATTGCCAATTGAATAACATCAAAGGCAAGCAGTGCAAAAAAGTATTAACAATTAGCATGGAACACTAGCAAGATCAACAGAGAAAGATATAATGCCCCTTTAAGTTTACACTAAAGAGTATAAACATTGTATCACTATAAGGGGCATATGCTGTGTGCATATGAAAACACAACTTAACAGTTACATCAAGTCATACAGTTGAATCTGGTCAATTGCGATGAGGTCTTGTTATCCTTACAAAAAAAAAAAAACCTTGCCACTATTTCTGCCAACGGTTTCCTGTTTTCATAGCTGAGAAACATTTGTATAGAAGTCTTGTAAATATTATGACGAGAGCCGTACTACAGTATCCTTTGACATATGATCACAAAGATGGCTAAACATAGCTCGTATGTCAAGTTACAGGCAGTGAACGTGAAAAAAGCAAATGCTGAGGTGGGCTCAAAAAAACAGCTACTTAGTAAAGCTGTCTTTGAACACTATCTGATTGACAATAATAACACCACGGAACTGACCTCATTCACATGTGACTTAAAGGAGTTTACATAGTGTTCCCATGTGTCTTAATATTTGTATTTTCTATTGCTATGCCGCAATCAACCAAAAGAAATAGAATTGAATATGTGTCTATGCCATTCCTCAAGTATCAAAGTGTGTAATTGAAAGCACAAATGGGGCAATCTTTCATCAGTGTTTTTGCAGGCCTTTTGTTGTGGGCTGGTGTGGCATCACACAGGTTGCTGTCATGCTCTTGCCTCTGGGCTCTGCCTCATCGATCCTCTCTGAGCAAGTCTTTTATTCATTTACACATCAGCCGCATAGAAGTATGCTCTGTGTCGGGGGACACTTTTGTTTTAATGTGGTCCATGTCTTTGAAGATTTATTGGGTTTTTGTGTTGGACGTAAACGGCCTCAGAATACTCCTTACACTTGTGTCACTGACCAAGAAGAGGAATGGATTGGAAGTGAATGCTACACAGTCTGATGCTTTGGTTTGAAAAAGCTTCTTTTGGATATAAGAAACCTTAACGAAATGCTTTAGGCTGTGTATTCACCAACAATACTGACATTATAAGATGGATAACACGCTAAGTATGGGTTGTCAAAGATTTTGCTTTAATTGGCAAATCTAGTTTGTGGAAATCTCACTTCATACATTTTGACTAAAGCACCACTAATGGTGCATGATCGATGCTCACCTGGTTGTTTGGTATAGATGTGCAGCCAATCAGGGAGTCAGTGGGGGACTGGAGTGTCGCTGGAGATAGGTCCTCAGGGCTGGCCAGGCCATCTTTCCACTCCTTCCACAAAAACACACATATCAACATAACATAATCTACAATATATGAAATGTTTCATATCATCTACACTGTTAATTGGCGAAGGCCATTTACTTCCAAGGGCTGCCTTTAAATCTTGATCTCAAGCAACTTTTTATGTATAAAAAAAACCTATTTTTGTATATTTGACTTTATAGTAACCCTATGGCTACAAAAGAGTAGAGTAGAGTAGAGCATGGCCTTGATCTACTATCGTGGTAGTGTCTACAGTGCTCCAGGATCAATTGTTTTATAGGTTATGGGGGTCCGTCAGCAAAGAAAATCTTACAAACAATTGATCCTATAGCGTCTTAGAGACCACTGTGATAGTAAGTAAAGACACCATGCTGACCACTCATCCAACGCTGGGATCAATTTATAATAAATATAAAACATTTTCACCTAAAATGTTGCATAATGCACCTTTATGTCAATATAACTGTACCAGCCTAATTTTGCCAATTAAAAGCCATTTCCCAGATAAACAGTGCCTGTAAATTGTAGGTTTGTGTTTTGTATAGGGACTGGACGGTGAGCAGAGCCTGCGGCGGGACACCAAAGCATGTGCGTCACATGGCAGAGAGCACAGGACCTGTTATATAACATCTGTGCCACCTGCCACCACACATTCTCCTCACTGCACTGTAACAACACAGCATTCTCAATGTTAACCAGGACATCAAATGCCCTTTGACATTTGAATACTTTATAATGATCACAACTGCAGTACAACTGAGAATAAATTGAAATGGCTGTTATTTAATAATAATGTCCGAATAAAACATTTACATGACATAAGTGTGTTTAATTTCATGTAGGAATGTTTATATGTATTGATACAAGTCTTTCTTACTATTGAGTGCGTCATGGGGAGGATGGTGAAGCTCTCGTCCAATCGCGGTGGGCTGCCCAGGTCCTGAATGGGGTGTGAGGGCACAGGAGGGGACTTTCCATCTAGCTTTCGAACCTGACGGTCCCCTTTAGCTGTGGCTCCAGTACTGAGCTTGCGCACCGGGTTTGTGAGCCATTTCTTGAGGGTGCTGACGGAGCGCCTGGAGCTGGGGGAGCTGGGGGCCGAGCTGCCAGACGCCTGGGGTGGCAGCGACGCTACTGAGGTGGAGATGCTGCCCTCGCTGCCCGCTGCTGAGTAAGAGTCTGCAGAGGAAAAGAGTGACAATGTTAATTTCATGTGAATAAATGGAGGAAAGATCACGAGGACTGTCAAGCTTCTTAGTCGACCAACATTTCTATGTGAATGCAGCAAAAATCAGAAGCCATGGAGCAAAATAGCTGAAGATTTTGATATTTACTTTGAAATCTCTCCATTCACAATACCTTATCCAATACTTTTTTTAATTGATCTGATTTTTTGTGATTTTAGCAAAAAGTTTTTTGCGTACAGTTTAAGGGCAGATACATAGTTTTTCAGAGCTTTTACTAATTTTGGTTTAAGGCAAACATCTAAATTAAACAGAAGAGTCAAAGTGAAGGTCTGTGAGAGGAAATTAAAGCAAATGTCATGTCAACGCCGCAGGAAACTGCAACAAGAGAAACGAAATAAATAGACTGTGTCGAGAGATTTAGCGTTGAAAATAGGCATCAAACACAGCACCAGCCCACCCTGCGACACAAGACAGATACAAGGGGTCATGGCAGTCGTTTGAAGTGACATACTCCGGCGTGGTCACACACTGGAGGCAGGGGAAGTGCTCAGACCGGATGTCCAGTCAAGTGACCTGCATAGAGGGAAAGGATGGTGTTTGTTTTTCTCAAGTCCTTCAGACCCCTCCTGCTCGGTCATCCCTGCGCCGCAATCTATGGCAGCGGACACAGATCAGTCACACTCTCCTTAAGCCTAGACAGCGAGAAAGAGCTGACACTGATTGGGATTTTTATATATGGATGGATGGGGAGCAGTATTTGTTCAAAAAGCCTGTGAAGAAGTTCTCAAAAGTTGCACATAAACAGGACGTTGCATTTATTATATTTGGGATTAGTAACAAAAAGTGGCTGGCTCCCTGCGGCTGGATTTAGAAGTTTAACAGCTTGTTTTAATGACTGAGGAAAGCAAATCAAGTCACTCTGGGTGTGTTTGGTGAAAAGCCCACTGATCTGCTGTACACTGCAGTTTTGTTCTACTTCAAACTTCAATGAAAAAGTCCAAGATTGTCTTCATAAATATCTTTCTCTTGAATTCAAGCTTGAAACTCTCCACATTAGGAAAATATTACAAATTGACTCTAAATCAGGGGTCTCAAACACACTTTAGCTGGGGCTGCACATGGTTGAGTCTGGGCCATATATTTATTTTTGATTGCGTACAAAAATAGATAAATAAATAATAAAAAAACTAACTGAAGCAAACGTGTGTGTGTGGTCGCAAATGGTGTGCAGGCCATCAATACATGTATTGATGTAAAGACATGCGTTTTTCAAAATACATTAATCAGCATTTTAAGAGACTTTAATTAAATTCTCTCCTCCATTATACTGAGAAAGTAACTTTAAAAAACTCAGTTATAACTGGAGGATTCCAAATGTCCTCTCAAGTTCACTACAAGCAAGGTGCAAAAGCCACAACAGAAAAAATGACAAAAAACCTTAAGTAGACCATGAACAAACAAAAGTGGAGTGGGAAATACTGTATGTAGTTATGTAACATGGAGATCAGAGATACTCAGTGGCTCAAATGAGTAAAAGCATATATGGCACAATCTATAATTTACAGAATTCATGAATATATAAAGGGTCGTTGCATCCGTAGAAGTCACCATGGAAACCCCTTAACTGACGGTGGAGCATGAGGCGAGATCAGTTTGACCCTGAAAAAACATGTTCCTGTAAATGCACAATTCCAAAAGTTGAAAAAAGGGTTATTTTGAGGCGAGTTTTATTCAGCAGACATAAAAGAAACTGATTCTTCTTCCCAAGAACATTTGAAATTAGGATTAATCATATGTCTTCCATTAGTTTAAATTTGTTTCAGAAACAAAAACACTCTAAAAACAGACAAAAGCTGTTATCTCAAATAATACAATAGTAAGCAATTATAACTATAATCCCAACAGGAGCATCACTTAAGAACTAAGCAACTATCCTGAAGTGAGATTTCGGAGAACAAATTATTTGCACACTAATGTATACACCTGTCAAATAAAGATGCAGTCCGTGATTTTAGAAGCATTTTTTTTTTCATTGTGGGAAAACGTCCCTCAACCCTAAAAGTAGTCAAGTTATCATGTGTTTTCAAATAGTAATGGAATTGACCAGATGTCTAAATTAATAAAAAATATTTTGGAGCGGGCCGATACAAATAAACCAATGGGATGCGTTTACCCCCTTCACCCTCTTCCTGTTTCTCATGCACCTGAGTTATCGGATTATTTTCTAAAACCTTAAATGGCTGAACAGAACATGCCAATTTCATGTTTGCCACCCACTCTCCATGTTGTGACAAAGAAAAGAAAATGCTGGATGTTTGGTTTGGTGAAGAGGTGAGGGGAGTGGTTTCGAGTTACGGTGCTACGGCTAAGCTAACAACATCGCTTACTGCATCTTTAATTGATAATTTAAGTAACATTAAGCAATCTTTTCCACATAGCTCGGTCGTGTTGGATTTAACAAATAAAAGTAAATTAAGTCCAACAACATTGTTACATTTAAATGACTTTATTAAGTAAAAGAAACATGACAGAGTTATGTGGAAATCCAAATTCAATCTTTTCAGAGCTTTCTCGACAACACAACAGCAACAAACATGCTGCATTAAAATGTCACTGCTACCTTTCTAGGATGGAATGTTTCTGTGATGGATATCATTTTGAATGATTAATGGTATCCATTTTTATTTTCAGTATGGAATAGATATTGCCAGCTCTAATCACCTGTCACATTGATAAATTAGGATAATATGGTGGAGCAGCTGTTTCTGTATTATAATCAATATTCTATCCATGATACAAGGCAGCATTTTTACAATAAAACAAAAACAGCCACAAACTTCCCCCAGTCAGCTGCTGACCAAGCTCAACCCTTATAACACTGCAGAGGAAACAGACATTGTGCTGTTTTCAATAAGGGTTTGATGTAGACGATGATAATGAACAAATATTGGCCTACTCATTTAGCTAGTTGGTCTCACACGGTCAATTAAAAGAGAACAGATATTAATCAGAAAGGAAAAACAATGCATGTTTTTGTCCCATAAGTGATGAAAATAACCAAGCATTTCCCAATATCAATCATTTACTCATTGAGGCTGAGGCGGTATATCATGCATACAATAGAAATAGAATACAATACAGCCTTTTAATATATAAAAAACATGTTTCTTTAATTAGAGATATAATTAAAATCCTATCCATTTTAGTTTCAGTGCCATGATCAACAACCAATATTATTGAGTTGGTTTGAGCAGCGGAGAGTTGGTGAAGCACAGAACCGTGAGAGACGTGAACACGTTTGCTCCATTAGATCTGAGCTTTTAGTCTGATGTGCCTGATGTGAGATCTCAGCATCTTTCACACATTATTCGATCAATAAAGACGAGCTTCACTGCTGCAGGACCAGGAATTCCGGTCATATATGAAGGCTGATCAAAAACAATCTCAAAGCAAAATGGCGAAAATAAAAAATTACAATGAAAAATGCAGTATTGGATGAGCAAAATAAGAGAAAAGTTTGTATTAAATACTCCAGAGTAGCCCTTCAGGCAGTTTTTTTCAGAAATATAATGAAAAACAGACAAAAGGTTGAGCCCTGAAACGTTATAAGAGACAAAGTCCTGCTACAAATTCACAGAAAAGAAAAATATATTTTGATAAACATGTGTGGGAAGCCAAGGTGCTGCATAATAAGTGTCTATGCACTAATCCTTTTCATATCTGTCATACTTATACTACTTAAGGTTGTGTGAGCAAAAGCTGATGCTACTTTCCTAATGAGCCCAAACAGGTCTGTAGATTGAGGCCATGTCCACACGTAGCCGGGTATTAAAAAAAAAAACAACAACAACAAAAAAAAACTGCGGTTTAGCAGATACCCGGCTACGTATGGACGGGGCCCCATCTGAATCCACCACCTCAACCTCCTCTGTCAACAAGATCCAACTGTATGTGATCACAAACAAAAGTAAAAAACATCTCACTTGTATTGTCTTCTTCCACACCCTTCGCTCCTTTCCCGCCCGCAGACCTACTCCTACTGTATATTACATTTCGGCTACTCAGAGGAAATGAACACTCTTCCTATCCACATGGCCTTAACTGCACTCAGCTTCTCTAAGACTTGAGAATCAAAAAGGCACTTAGTAGCTGCTGCTTTCAACTGGAAATCCACTTACTGTCCTTTAGTGAACCTGTACAGAAACATATTGCAAATATTTTACTGTGTGAAACGTCTAAACCTTATGCGCATCTCAAAGCAGCAAAACCATCTGGAAGAGTTGTTTTCCATTATCCTTGTATTGGCTGTAGGCCATTCAAACAACCTATATTTGTAATGTAAAAGTTGGTATAAACGTTATGTACCCTTGGCCAGTCAGACCCCCTTTGTCGCATATGTCCCCCACTGCACCTCTGCATTGTTTACATAATGTTCGAGTGGAGATGAGAGCACCCTGTTTCCTCCTGCACTGCCCCAGAGCTGCTGACAGAGCAAGCAGCTGAAATTTAAAACCAAAGCTTCACAATGGCAGCCCCTTCTCAAACCCGCACTTACTAGTACTAGTCTGATCTAGTTAGACTAGTTCTTTTCTAATCATACTTGAAATACTGTGCAATATATCAACATAGATACAGTATATATTTATATTTGTGCTGTCAAGCGATTCAAATACTTAAATGTCCATCCATTTTCTTCCGCTTTATCCGTTGCCGGGTCGCGGGGGCAGCAGTCTAAGCAGAGACGCCCAGACTTCCCTATCCACACACACTTCCTCCAGCTCGTCCGGGGGGACCCCAAGGCGTTCCCAGGCCAGCTGAGAGACATAGTCCCTCCAGCGTGTCCTAGGTCTTCCGCGGGGCCTCCTCCCGGTGGGACGTGCCCGGAACACCTCCCCAGGGAGGCGTCCAGGAGGCATCCGGAACAGATGCCCGAGCCACCTCAACTGGTTCCTCTCGACGTGGAGAAGCAGCGGCTCTACTCCGAGCTCCTCCCGTGTGACTGAGCTCCTCACCCTATCTCTAAGGGAGCGCCCAGCCACTCTGCGGAGGAAGCTCATTTCGACCGCTTGTATCCGCGATCTCGTTCTTTCGGTCATTACCCAAAGCTCATGACCATAGGTGAGGGAGGGAACGAAGATTGACCGGTAAATCGAGAGCTTTGCCTTTCGGCTCAGCTCCTTCTTTACCACAACAGTCCGATACAGCGACCGCATCACTGCGCACGCTGCACCGATCCGCCTGTCAATCTCACGCTCCATTCTTCCCTCACTCGTGAACAAGACCCCGAGATACTTGAACTCCTCCACTTGAGGAAGGACCTCTCCACCCACCTGAAGAGGGCAGGGCACCTTTTTCCGGTCGAGCACCATGGCCTCAGATTTGGAGGTGCTGATTCTCATCCCAGCCGCTTCACACTCGGCTGCAAACCGTCCCAGTGCATGCTGCAGGTCCTGGTTCGTTGGAGCCAACAGGACAACATCGTCCGCAAACAGCAGAGATGAAATCCTGTGGTCCCCGAACCGGACCCCCTCCGACCCCTGGCTGCGCCTAGATATTCTGTCCATAAATACAGTGAACAGAACCGGTGACAAAGGGCAGCCCTGTCGGAGGCCAACATTCACCGGGAACAGGTCTGACTTACTGCCGGCAATGCGAACACAGCTCTGGCTCCGGTCATACAGGGACCGGATGGCCCTCAGCAGAGGACCCCCGACCCCGTACTCCCGGAGAACCCCCCAAAGGACACCCCGGGGAACACAGTCGAACGCCTTCTCCAAATCCACAAAGCACATGTGGACAGGTTGGGCGAACTCCCATGAACCCTCGAGTATCCGATGGAGAGTATAGAGCTGGTCCAGTGTTCCGCGACCGGGACGAAAACCACACTGCTCCTCCTGGATCCGAGATTCGACCATCGGCCGTAGCCTCCTCTCCAGTACCTTGGAGTAGACCTTACCGGGGAGGCTGAGGAGTGTGATCCCACGATAATTGGAACACACCCTCCGGTCCCCCTTCTTGTAGAGAGGGACCACCACCCCGGTCTGCCACTCCATTGGCACCGCCCCCGATCGCCACGCGATGCTGCAGAGACGTGTCAGCCAAGACAGTCCCACAACATCCAGAGACTTTAGATAATCAGGGCGGATCTCATCCACACCCGGAGCCTTGCCACCATGGAGGCTACCAACCACCTTGGTGACCTCAGCCAGGGAGATGGATGTATCCGCCCCAACATCCTCAGCCTCTGCCTCTGAAACAGAGGACGTGACGGGGGGATTGAGGAGAACCTCAAAGTATTCCTTCCACCGCCCGACAATATCCCCAGTCGAGGTCAGCAGCTCTCCACCCGCACCGTACATGGTGTTGGCAAAGAACTGCTTCCCCCTCCTGAGGCGCCGGACGGTTTGCCAGAATTTCTTTGAGGCCGACCGATAGTCATGCTCCATGGACTCTCCGAACTCCTCCCAGTCCCGGGTTTTTGCCTCTGCAACAGCCCGGGCCGCGGCACGCTTGGCCTGCCGGTACTGGACAGCTGCCTCAGGAGTCCCCCGAACCATCATGGCTCGATAGGACTCCTTCTTCAGCCTGACAGCATCCCTTACTGCCGGTGTCCACCACCGGGTTCGGGGGTTGCCGCCGGGACCAGCACCAGAGACCTTGCGACCACAGCTATGAGCCGCCGCATCGGCGATTGAGGCAGAGAACATGGTCCACTCGGACTCCATGTCCCCCTCCTCCACCGGGACCTGGGAGAAACTCTCCCGGAGGTGTGAGTTGAAAGTCCGTCTGACAGGGGGCTCAGCGAGACGTTCCCAGCAGACCCTCACTATACGCTTGGGTCTGCCAGGTCTGACCGGCTTCTTCCCCTGCCAGCGGATCCAACTCACGACCAGGTGATGATCGGTTGACAGCTCCGCCCCTCTCTTTACCCGAGTGTCCGAGACACGCGGTCGAAGGTCAGATGATATGACAACAAAGTCGATCATCGACCTCCGGCCTAGGGTGTCCTGGTGCCACGTGCACTGGTGGACACCCTTGTGCTCGAACATGGTGTTCGTGATGGACAAACTGTGACTGGCACAGAAGTCCAACAACTGAACACCGCTCGGGTTCAGATCAGGGGGGCCGCTCTTCCCGATCACCCCTCTCCAAGTGTCACTGGCGTTTCCCACATGGGCGTTGAAGTCCCCCAGGAGAATAACGGAGTCCCCGGGCGGTGCACCGTCCAGTACCCCTCCCAAGGACTCCAAGAAGGCCGGGTACTCTGCACTGCTGTTAGGCCCGTAGGCCGTCACAACAGTGAGAGACTTATCCCCCCCCCGGAGGCGGAGGGACGCGACCCTCTCATTCACCGGGGAGAACTCCAACACGTGGCGGCTGAGATGGGGGGCAATGAGAATGGCCACCCCAGCTCGCCGCCTCTCCCCGCGGGAAACACCAGAAAAGTGGAGCGTCCAACCCCTCTCAAGGAGTTGGGTTCCAGAGCCCAAGCTGTGTGTGGAGGTGAGGCCGACTATCTCTAGTCGGTATCGCTCAACCTCCCCCACGAGCTCGGGCTCCTTCCCCCCCAGTGAGGTGACGTTCCACGTCCCAAGAGCCAGCTGTTGTGTGTGCGGACTGGGTCGTCGAGGTCTCCGCCTTCGACTGCTGCCCAGTCCTCTCTGCACCGTTTCGCCACCACGGACCCCTCTGCGGGTGGTGGGCCCACAGGAGGGACTGCCCACGTCGTCCATTCGGGCTGAGCCCGGCCGGGCCCCGTGGGCTAAGACCCGGCCACCAGGCGCTCGCCTACGAGCCCCGACCCCAGGCCTGGCTCCAGGGTGGGGCCCCGGCTGCGCCATGCCGGGCGACGTCACTGATTTCTTTTGAGTGCTGTCCATGGTGTCTTCTGGACTGCTCTTTGTCTGACTCGTCACCCGAGACCTGTCTGCCATGGGAGGCCCTACCAGGGGCATGAAGCCCCAGACAGCATAGCTCCCAGGATCATCCGAGTACTCAAACTCCCCCACCACGTTAAGGTGGCAGTCCAGGGGGGAGTTCACTTAAATGTGATTAATCACAATCAATGTCATAGTAAATTAATCGCAATTAATCACACATTTGTCCTTGTTAATATGTCTTGAATTGATTTGAAAATGATTGGATGAAGCAAAAGGCTTATATTAATCCAATCCCCTCCAAAAAGAAAGTATGGATGGATGGATGGATACTCAATTTCTGCTTTTGTTATTGCTTTTTACAGTGTATAGAACAGGGGTGCCCACACTTTATCAAACCAAGATAGATACTTTTACAGCAACCATTGAGCCGTGATTGACCTTGGATTAATGTGGGAGTGTTAGTATTCAGGATCACATTTGGTTCATAATGCATGTGCTTTCTAGACAGAATCAGAATCCTTTTATTGCCATGTGAGTAAAAAGAAGTCACAAACAAGGAAGTGCTTTGGCTTACATCACTCTGACATCACAGCTTAAGTAGGAAGTTTTAACATCCAAACCAACATTTATTAGATACCTTATATGATTCTTTCAACATTTGTGGCTGAATGTGATTAGCGGTCAGATATTCAGGCACCTGCACTTCTAGTTAAATAACTCAATACTCCTCAAGACTTCCAGAGTGCATCTGCATCATCACAGCAATGAGGACAATAGACAACAACCATAGTTAAGTCTGAATGTGTTCAGATTGGCTGACTGCAGCTGACTCGCCTGAAATGGCCACTAGCAAAGTCACAGAGGTCTGGGACTGTCTCTCGTGGAGAATAGGCTCTGTGTGATGTCATTTGTTGTCAGACCAGCCAGATCCTTTGACAAACAGCGGAAACTGGAAGTTTATATAAAGTGTAAAACAAAAATTTTCCTTCACCATCTGACAAAATGTGTCCTGTTTTATGTCAGTTATTTTTAATCTGACTTTCTTATTGGCAAAGTACCACTTTATTGTCCTTAAGCCACTTTACTTTTGTCATATGCTTGGGGTCATTGTCAGTGAAGACCCAGGTTTCAACTTTTTAACAATTTGCTAATGTGGTGAGACGTTCCTTCAATTATTCCACATACTGTTCCTCTGTTGTGATGCCATCTATTTTATGAAGTGCACAAGTTCCTCCTACAACAAAACAGGCCCACAACATGCGACATCCACCCCGATGTTTCAGAGTTGGGATGGTGTTTTCTGGCTTCCCTCTTTTACCAGCAATTATACAAGTCATCAAGGCCAATCAGTTTCACTTCATGTCAATAAAAATGGTATTGTGTGTTTAATAATTGTACTCTAGATTTATTTTGGAGTAACAGTTTCTTCCTTGCTAAATAATCATTCAGCCCTTGTTTGTACAGGACTTGTTTTACAGCGGACATTTTTACCAGCTTCTGCCATTGTCTTTACAAGGTCTTTGACTTTTGTTCTGGGGTTAATTTGCACTTTTCAGACCAAAATACGATGATCTTGGGGACTCAATGGCCGTCTCATTCCAGAGCTATTTAATTTCTTGACATTCCCAGTGTTTATACTTGTGAACACCAGTTAATGTTTGAACTGATGAACGTGGCATCTCAAAGTATTTGGAAATTGTAACCAAGGATGAACCAAACTTTATTTTCAATTTGCCCTTGATGTCAATAAAGAAAGCTGTGTGTGATAAAAAAAGGAAAAATCATAAATCATAAATTGAAAAGATTGTT